AGCAACCGGTGATATCCGTGGTACAAGCATTAGGATTGTTGTATTATTAGGCGCGGTAAAGTCTTAGTGTGATGCTTGATAAGTAGACAATCGCTATCTCATGATATCAGGAGCCTCCGTGCGCTGCGGTCATGGCATCCGGGACGTTGCTTACGTGCAGTGTTTTACATGCGAGTTAGCCATTTGCTCCTACACAGTTGTAACGTAGGCACTCAATGCGCCACACGTTTGTCGCCCGTTGGCCCGCGCACAAAGTACCAACTACACGCAAGTACTTGCACGGACAAGGGCCTGGTAACTTTAGGTTCAGTGATACTGAATACCGGTAGTGATTGGATGCGAACAAATATCAACTCGTTCTGCCAACAGGCACTGGTACAATGACCCCACTTTAGCCTACCCCGCAACTGCGGACCTAAGGCATTACCACTCTCACACTCTCTTGCAATCCGTATTCGCCCGGGTGATAAAGTGCTCTCGGGCACGTGAGGCCCGCACGCGTTTGCTCCATTCATGCCTACATTCGCCTCTATATTTCCACCCGACATCCTATTGGCTGACGGTGCAACGGTGCGCGCAAACACTGCGGCTTAGGCATGGGCGGGCTCATTTGTAATAGTAACGGTTGAAGTTCAAATCTCTGCGGCCTAACTTGTTGGCGCCATGGCCTAACTGCCTATGAAATTGTAGCAATAATATTTCTCGATCTTCTGGACATGAGGTGTTCTCTCTGACGCAGTCCAGTGAAGATCGCGCTACATGAGAGTAACTACCGGGGTTAATACATGTACTACAATATTTGATATTGCATAGGTGGAACGGAAGCTTCATAAGTTTGAGGATAGTACGTTAAAGGTTTCTTACTTTCTGTAATCTTTATCAAACTAGCTTGGATCAAGAGTGACTTTGGTAGAAAATGCTACCGAGATACTTGACGATGGATGCTTTGGATACAAGTCTTCACTGAGTCAGAGTGTCTGTGTTTTCTATGGATGACTGGCGCTTATCGCTAACAAGAAACGAACACCTTAGGTCACTGCATTTAAAAGCGTTAAGGACAAGGGATATCAATGCAAACTACTGAAGCAGGTTACCTACTCCACGCGGAAGCAATGATGAATGCTGACTATTAGGCGTCATAAACCCTAGCACAGCATTCTCAGAATATGTTCGCCCTATGTACTTGGGTCGTATAAGGTGACTTGCAAATAAAACAAGATTAGAAAAGGTCATATAATTGCGCCTTGTTGAACACGACAGTTAGCATAGATGGCAGCTGATTTCCTAGTTTTAGTTGCGTTACCTAATTGCTACCCTAATAAACTGACGCAGTAGCTTACATACGCCCGATCGAACTCCATTCTCGGAATGCAGAGTAAACAGCATTGATGGATTCATACTTTTGTAGGGCTGTTAATAATCAAAGAATAAGTAGTACCGATTCGCATCTTTGCTCCAATGCAGACGCAATAGAAGAAACAAGATACTTAACTGCATCCAATGTAGAGTGTAAGGGTCTATATGCAAACTGATAGATCTCATCGACAGTAGTGTCTGTTAACACCCACAGATGCGCAGATTTCGAAAACTTTTAGCAGTACAGATGTACATTAAATCAGGCGATATATGTTAGCTCAAGTTGAGAATTTTGCTCTGTCAAAAGATCCGTATATCCTCTACAACAGATCAGCATGTTTCCATTTGTTTTACAACTATCCCTGACAGTTTTGAATAGTAATGGTCATTCAGTCTGAGCACACTAACGTTGCTTTCATTAGAACTCTGATGCAAGCAGGATGTCCCAAGCGTGTAAACGTGGGCATGCCAATTGTGCATAAAATGACCCAACATTATTCTACGCTGAATGTTACGATATTCCGATTTGAATCATTCAAACTCGCATAAAGGTCGTGCTGGCGTCATTCCCTGTTATTCGTTTTTGTGGTCGTTCGCCATATCCTAATGAAATCTAAAATGAAATTGCAAATCGAAACACTTTCCATTAGTGATCGTCTATGAAGCCCATTAATAGGCAACAATGTAGCACCGAGCCTTCTGGTAAGCCACACCCAAGCTCAATTGTGTAGGATGTGGATTCACTGACTCTCACGCTCCGACGACGTTAAGGTAGATAATCGTCTATCAAACGAAAGACTTGGTCGCGAATGCCATAGTTATAATGCATGTAAAGTAGAATTTCATGGTCTAAGCGAGCAAACTTGGGATAATTACAGGTATACTCCAACTGCAGCATCATCTGCAAAATAAATCATCAGAAGTTCACGAGCGAATTTTCTAAAAACCGTATTGTTCCGGTGTTATTATGCTGTGAAATCCAAAATGTTGCATCAATGCATTTGCGACAATTGACTCTATAACTTTCTGAGTGGTGCTATAGGGTAAGTGCTACTATTTCGTTTAGGAATAGAGGTGATTGTCTGGTTTCCACATCGGTGGAATTATGCTCTCCTCTAGACAGAGCTGGTAAAATACGGGCAGTGTTTTGGCTAAGACACTGGCTGTTGCTTACGAAGCCTTGGGATGAGTTGTGCCTAAAACAGAAGCACTGTACATGAGCAAGGATAATAACTGCTTGACATAGCTTCTGCAATAAAGGTGATGTTCGATAAGTATAATGATTGGAGGGCAAACACGAGCGGATAATTTGATTTTGTCACCATCTGGAAGTAAGGAAGTAATGTAGACTCTAGGCGTCAGCAGGTTCCCATGCAAGTCACGTATTCACCATAATGGAACAACGAGTGGGATTCCCCATTGCACCTTACGAAGGCTATTATGATGTGTGTAGCTGCAGATTGCGGTTCCTTCAGCATCACTGAATCAGTTCATGCTGATCTGTCACCTTGTGCTGGATGATACATTTCACTTAACAACTACCATTTGCCGCATATGCAGACAAATCTTCGCCTTGGGTAGATTCCTCGTTAACTCGCTGCCAAAAATCCATTACAAGATTGAAATTACGTGTTCTGATTCCTTGAAAGTACTTGTCTTTGCATTGATGCTAGTGCAATCTGAACGCTAAACGTCACTGCGAATGATTTCTAAACGATTCCTTACGGGTATCTAGTAGAAAGGCCCAATTCGTATCTTAAAGAAGCACGGATAACAAGTAAACGTGCTTGACAGCATGTACTATCTCGTCTTGGTTTTCGGGATATCCAGAAGAGCAGAGGTAGCCAAATAGCAAGTGAGTGCTTGTAATCATTTGCATTAATCACCACGTATCCTTTAGCGAGTACATCATCAAATATCAACTGCCTGCCTCTAGTTCGAATCCTGGTGGGGCAGAAGACGGGATTGTACAAAAGGTAACTTAAACTTAACCCTCTCAACAGGCTTTGAACAGTTCGCATCCAGATATTCACACGCCTAGTGCGTGTTCAAGATAAGTATGTGATTTTATTGTAGAAAGAGCAGACCAGCAAACAAACACAAGCATTATTGCACGCGACAAGGCTTAACCAAGTTCCTACGCACACGCACATAGGTCATCTTTCCTTCTCACAACGCAAGATACGCGGAAAATTACTACCCGTCACATTCGCACGTCGTTTCGCTCCATGTAGGGGACTTTCCTACATATTGGATCCCCTATGTTCACTTTTTTAAATAGTATCTAACTGGGCTGGAATTGTTCCAAGACTCTTGATTTGCTCGATTGCGATTTCATTTCTTCACTTGGAATTACTCCTGGATGTACCGTCTGATTAATGGGACTTTTGACCAAGAGCTTCTCTGTTTTCCTTAGCTTAGGCTCGCTACCGCTCCTTGCTCGCGACCAGCTCTTAGCTCGTTTTGGGGCCTTACTTCGCGTTGTGTGATCATGTACTTGATGCCTGCAGCAGCCGCCGCAGCAACGGTCTCTGTGAACGCTTCGTGAACTGTCGTAGTGAATAGGCTGGATTTTCTGTAGCAATAGTATGTCAGCAAAATTTGATGTACATGCTCTCAAAGCGCAGTTCTCAACTCGGGCTTCTTCGCGAACCACGCCACCTGGGCAGTACAGTTTTAACCACTTGTAGTGATCGAAATGCGAGGCTAAGTGTCTTCAGTCCGTGTTATTTGAAACGAGATGTATGCCGTATTTTTACAGACCGGAACAAGAGTGTATCGACTGAAACTGTTTTACCAATGTATCTTCACTCTCCTCGATCGTGCGCTCAAGCGTCCCCACAACGAAATGCTGACAGTTGGGACACGTCAGCGACCTAGATAACTTTCCCGCCATTGTTCGCTTGGCAACTGTTTGGCACATTTTGTCAAGTTGACGTTCGTTATAGTGAACTTCTGGGAAGATACAGACTCCAGTGTGTACATTCCAGAGTCGATGTGCCGACAGAAGAATCCCAGTGTAATCGACAGAGTCGGAATTAACCAGAGTGCATCACGTTTGGACGTCTAGTAATGCGCATTCTATCGGTGCGGCCGGCCTGAACAAACTCTGGTCACAAACTTTGTTCCACTAGCCCTACTAGTCCTTCGGTCTCCTCTTAGTGTATTTGATCGTGACTCAAGGAATTTAATGTATATCACAGCTAGTACACCACGGTTTCGCCTGCTCCTCAATTGTATTGTGTACGCGGTTGCCGGTGGTGTTGTTGAGTTATCGTATGTGCTTGAGGCTGGCCATATGAGTCGCACATTTCCACGATCATAACGGGTTTTCCACATCGAAGTCCACTGGTGCTTACTTTTGGACTGTTTGAGCAGTAATCAATGCATAGGTTGCACTATGTGGCAGGTTTTGGTGCATGTTGGATCATTTGTATTTTTAATGTTAAGGGGGCTATTTCGGTTGTTACGTTTGATAGGAGGATGAACGCAGTGGAATTGAGGCTGACACCATCTGGATGGTTGCGTAAAATCACGCGTAAACAATTCCGAAAGAAAACTTGGATTGAGTAGTTCACTGATAATGCTCATCCACAGCGAACGTTTATAATGAAAATAATGCAAAAATTAAGGGCTTGTCGCTTCGGGTTTAACAGTCTAAAGTTTTCAACAGATAAGCATCTGCCTTTTGGTCGACTCGTGCTTGCTTCTGACATTGTTGGTGTACTGCCTTGAGTTAAGTTGTCAGATGACGAGGGATCTCACCGATCTTCAAGCTCCATTGAACTAATTGAAAACCAAGGTTACACCTTCTACTGTGATCTCTAGTGGGGTGCACCAGCAGAATTTGCTACACCAGTCGCGCGATGCATGCTCACAAGATGTAATCAAAGCAAGCGTGACAGGATCAATAGATCGCCTCCGGCAACGTTTGGCAGTGATGGGAGAATACTGGGGAATGGCTAATGCGGGTTGGTTCAAAGAAGCGTAATTTGCACTTCAGTATTATCCATACAGCGGTGAGCCGGGACGAATGACTGCTTGTTCACATGCTATGAAATGCTATATCAAAAGTAGCAGGAAATGAAGCTAGTGGCCGTAACAGACCAAAGATATGCATGTGGGCATCAGTGAAACAGCCTACAAATAATCCAGATCTAAAAACTAGGTAACCAGAGTATTTACTTATCAGACCATATTATGGAGTGTCCCGTGCCCATTGAAACTAAACATTTATTCATTTCTTTAATAATTAATGTTACCCGATGGATCATGTCAGTCTACGACAATTAAGTGCAACTACACGTGTGTAACTACACAGAGAATGGTCGACGAAGACATTTCACGAAGGCTTAAAGCAGCTTTGTAAAGACTAACCTCGACAATGTCAAGGCCACAAATGTACACTTATCCTATTCTCAACTTGCAACCGACCATCCCATATGATTAATTATATGCACTAGTGACATATCTAACTGATGGGGTTCCTTTCAGGCGCGATTTAAAGCAAAAACGAGGAATAATTCGATCAATCCGTAAGGCACAACTTTACTGCGTTTCCATTCACGGGTTGACTGGCTTGAGTGGCTAGCTTGTGAAAAAATAGTCCGAATAATGAAGGTAAGCGGCAACGGCTTACGTGCTTTGAAGCCACGCCGGCACACGACCTCATCGTGGTTGGAGTTACGGAATAAACTTCTCGTGGGATTAACACGCATGGAAACTGGCACCAAGGAGACTGTTTTACAATGGCTGACATGGGTTTTCTTACTTTATTTCTCTATTTGTCTTCGGTCTGTTGTGACACTTGCTCTCCGTCATTTCCTTTTACCATCTTATTGTCATACCGACATCCCCCATTTAGTACCAACCTGATCACGACGCAAGGAAGAGGTCATGTGGAATTGCGGACACACATTATTAGTACTCTCCTCTGCAGCAGTTATTTAATTTTTATCGTAACTTTGATCCATGGACTACATCTCAAGTTAATTACGCGAACTTCAAACGTGAACCACTGCATAAAAGTTCACTCGTTGCTGAGTGCTTTCTGACATTCACCTTTATTATCTCGTCACTTACCTTTTTTACAAAATACTTCAAACTATTGACGATTGCTTTTAATCCTTAGACCGTGTTTGTGCCTTTATCATAGGTGTCTTTACCTCTATCTGTGTAACAAAAACGAACTGTTATCTGTCCATTTTATTGGCCATCCTGTATTTGGTGATTTATACAAGTCAACTCGAGTCAACAAAGTGCTTCATGCACCTTGGGCGGGTGAATTTTTAGCTACAAGATGGCACATTACGGATCATACCTTAGTGGGTGTGTATTGCATTGCCAAGGATAAACGTTTATATGTTTTTTATCAACGCTTAAGCTTCAGCCGTGAGAACATCAGTAAGTGAAGGTTAACATGTACTGAGAGGCAACGAATAAGGGGGTGCATGAATGTATCTGTTGTTGCAACTTGAAGGTTGGGCCAGGAACTCAGAACAAATTAGGGAGAGTAATATAGTTATAGTTCACAGGCAAGAAATCCGTACTAACGCTGCTTATGCACAACTGGCGTGTACCTTGCATCGTTCAATTCTCGGAATTCTGAGAAAGCGGACCTTGATATTAAAATGAACTATCTACGTATGAGCACGAAATTACTGTACAAATTAATCCAACTCTTTGCAATATCAGCTTATAGAGTTGTGAACGTGCCTATATTAAACTTACAGGTTGAACACGTTCTTATAGTAAAAGTGAAGTCTCAGAACTCACCGAGTACATGGTCTTCCGAGAACAAACAGACCTCCAGCCTTCGTGCCATCCTAGGTACCAAGTACACCATCCGACTCCCAGACGCGATTGTGACTGATATGAGCAGGAAATATAGGCCAAGAAATAACTGCTGGTTAATAGTATTGTTCGAATGTGGTGCAGGTAAGCAGATGTATATACTGGCAAGGAAAGTTGGAACAACTTTCTCAGTACACAGATTCAGGATGTGTGCTGTGTTACAAAGCCCCAAAATGTAGTAAGAAGGCACAAACTTGCTAAAAGCACATACGTTTTCTTTTTGTGTGAGAGTATGTTATCGGACAGAGCAGACGTACCAGCGAGATCAGTGAGGTAGCTGCTCAAGTGCTAACCAAACGGCCTGGGCTTTGCTAGTTCAGTGATGGTTACCGACTATTCTTTAGTTGGAGGAAAGATGTAACCCCGTTGATGGAACTGCATCGTTAGAAATGGGACTGGCTGAATAATCTACATGAAAGCTCTATATGGACGAGATATGCATATTTACCTTGCCTATCTTACCCAAAATAAATCTATTAGCTAAGAAGGACCATATTTCACAACAAGTTCCTTGTGACTCACATTCAAGAGGTAGAGTTAATATTAAGTAATAGAGAAACTGTCCAATTTGGACACTGCACCTGTGCTCGGAGTGATGGTGATCCTAATTGAGATCGCACGTCACAATCCATACCTACGAGAGACACTGCACCAAATGGCTTAAAGTCAACAAATCTTGACAGAATTCATTGAACCGGTGTGATATCGTAGAAATGGATATTGCCAAACTTGTCAAGCCTACATCCATTGTAAGCATGGTCGAATAAGTTTCGATGGTCAGACGAAGCTGCGAAAGCAACTAGTGAAGCCATCGTCTGTCGTACGCCATCTCGGAATACTAGTTTAGGATGATTTGAGTTGTTCCCGACAATTGGAAAAGGCATGGAAATATAGTATACAACAAATCGATCAGTTGCGATAGTCCTTCGGACAAATAGGCATCTCTATTTTTCGACAGATGCTCCGCGCGTATTTTCGTCCCCATGTCGAAAACGAAACTCAAGCATGGTAGCTATGAAGCACGACCTCTACGGTAGATCCGTTAGGAAATCAGACTTTCAAATACGTCACTGGACTGTGAAATTTCCCATACGAGCAGAGGCTGAAACGCTTTGCATTATTCAAGCGATTACGACGCAATCTGATAATGGCATACTTGATTTTGCACACTTGAAATAATGTGTGACACTTTACTACAACTCAGCATTAACATACATTTGTGAGGTCAACCACTAAAATAAACAGAACAGCCGTCTAAAAGTGCCACAAAATTCTCTTTTATATTTGCAGGTGTCAGCTGTAGAATATCTTCTCCAAATCATTCGTTTCTGCACTTACACCGGCTCTAATTGATTCAGTGGGGCGACGCACTCAGCCACTTATATTTTGGTACTTAGCATTATCGCTCTGTCCTGTTCTACGCTAGTACCTTGGAGTTAATATTTTTTGTCTATTGGAGCTGTGAAACAGTGCGGTGTGCAGGGCTGCTGCATTAAAAACGCTAAGTCCATTCTTTTGACAGTAAAGGTACTAACTACATTTTTCGTTAACCTTTTTCGATAGTTCACCTGGCCGTCCAGCGGAGCCTGTAAAGCGGTGTTTCTTAACCCGTGTAAAGTCATTGCTCATTTTTCGTTGCTCATGTTTAAGTTCTTATGTACAACATATAACGACATGTTGTATGAACATGCTGTAGCGTAGCAGAGTGAAAAGAATAATGCACACTCACGATTCCGATCAATGCGATGAAGAACCAATTTGCATGTTGTCCCGTTTCCGTCGCACACACCGCACTTATCGCGTCTGCCTCTACCGTTGACCACGCCCTTACAATCAAATTCCTGAAATAATGAAAGAAGAGATAAGTAGTGTCATAAGATGTAAACTTCGTGACAAACGAAAAGTGGCGATAATCCAAACTTGATTTACATCACCCGTTTCCTGTTTCGCCCACGAAGTGGTTACAACAGTCGTAGGACGCCGGCACATACGCGGAAACTTAGGCAACACCTCCTTTGGGAGGTACTGCTTCCATCGAATAACACCAGAAGGTATGCTAGGGTGAGCTGCGATTGCATCCTGACCAGTCCACACTTCGGCAACCCATACATCATGGGGGATGCTAGCTCAAAGCTACGATCACCATCTAGCACATCGGACACAATGTAAACGACAGAGAACTGCACGCATTGTGTTGACATCTGACTATTGCGGCATAGGCCCTCATTATTAACGCACAGGAGTAAATTTAGGAAAAGCACATATACATGTTATTCGTAATGCTTGTAGCGCAAGGCATGGATAACAGATCTGACCGCACACTTGTCCTAGGCGCTGAAATAAGTTGCAACTTGAGGCGGTTGGTTTCATTACGAAACGTTAAAACTTTCGTTACTTGACTTATTCGCAGCATTAATTGCAATCTCAGCGTCGTTGGGCTAGGAATTTTTGTATTTCAGATAACACCAACAGTGTTTGTACCAATAGTGTCTCACATATACTCTATGTCTGAGTAGTCTTCTGCCGAACTTTTTCCACCCACCTATGTTCTTATTTTTCTCTTACCGCGTTTTATGAACCCAACACAAGGGCATATTCTACAATATTTCATTTGTCTCTAACCGCAAGATATGGAGTTTATGTGACTGTCCTCCGTTACAATATTAACTCTCAATAAAAGCAATAATGTATGAAAACTACGCAGACGAACGAAGAAAGCTTTCAAAGGAAAAGACAACACCTCAATAGAGTCACTCTCCGTTCGTATAAAGGAGGAGTTGCGTCGTCTCAACAACATGTATCTTGAGACCATAATTGGGAATATTAGCTACAGTGAACTCTAGAGAATGTTAAAACAACTAAGTGAGGTTACTCGACGTACATGAACCTCCGACGTAGATGTGAAGAAATTGAACCACGACTTCTGTAACTGCTACAAAAATCCGATCTCTGAATCATTCTTTGTGAAGCCTAAATTGTCCGCAGACACACTATCCCTTATTGATAGCGGCGCCGTACACAAGTTACTGAAACAGCTTCCCTCAGGGAAAGCAAGTGGTCAAGGTAGTCTGTCTCCGTTGTCCCAAAGGGTTTTGTTTCCTTTCTTGTCAAAGCCATGGCACGTTATATATATTATGCACTCAACAACATCAAATTACCGACTGCTGGAAAGGCGTCACTATCACACCAACATCAGAAAGTGCCCAGGTAAATATCTACCGATTACAATCAGGTGGAATTAAAGGTGTTCAACAAATCATTCTAAAGAGGATGCTAACACAACAGCAGTCAAAAGATTCTCTTCACTTTGCCTACCTCAGTCCTAGCTGAACCGAAGACGCAGTATCCTTCTAGTATATTCGGTTCTGTCATCACTGGACAATGGAATCAAAATCATCCGAGTCTGTCTTCTGGAATACAGCGACTTTTTCGGCTGCGTCCACAGCGAATGGCTGTTGAAAGATTTACTCAGGGCTAGAATACACCTTTTTATCGTCTCTTTCTTGGGGAAATATTTTACCGGTGGTACTCAGGTTACTTGATTTAGAGGCAGAAACTCCTAACCCTTAATCATAAACACTGTTCTTCAAGATGCTATTCTGTCACCATTTTAATTTCAATGAATCACGGGCAATGCTGGTCTACAGCTAAGCAATGATTCACATTCCACTAATATGAATAAATATCAGAAATCAGTTCCGGGTGCAGAATTCTGTTCTATAAACTCTCATTGTACCCAAACGTTTACAAAACACTGATAGTTTGGAGTAAGCGTCAACTCGGGTTGGGATTTACTTCTGGACTGTTTGGATGATCAAAATCGATAACTTGAGACAGAGATAGAGATGTTAAACCTAGTAAACTAAATACACATGCATACGCAAAGCTCAGTAGTCCAAAGTAATTACGTAGGTAAGATAACAACCAAATAACTAAGTAACAGTGTCCGTTGGCCAAGGTACTAGTATTGGCCAAATGAATCGTTTTCGTATACGTAATTCCGGCTTCAGATGGTGAATGTAGATAGCATCGGCGATGGATAAGAGCTGTTTGCGGAATCCTTAGGTGTAGTGTTCAGGTAGTGAATAAATGACTTGAAGTCATTTTCTAAAGCTATATGGCCACATTCAAGGAGGTGCGACATAATTGAGCTGTCTGAAGACCTCATTTCGTCTTTGTAAAACCATGCCGGGATGTGTTCACTCCTCTGAGATAGGCGCCTCGTCGTGCGACCCACGTACCGTGCACCACAGGAGCACGAGTACTGTTATACGATCATTGAACAGCTCAACGACGGTAGTCTATCCTTCAAGGGTTTCGTAAGCAACGGCTTTTTGTGAAAAGCGGTTCTCAGGCGGCCGCGAAATAAGTTTTCTCGACAGCGTCTTTCAGGCGTCTGCATAACATATCAGCTGCAGAATCGCCCTTAAAGGGTATACGTATGAAAAGCTCTTTCTTAGGAGCAATTCTGCTAGGTGGCTTTCGATTGCGTTCCTTCAAATGTTTAATGATAAATTTATCAGGATAGACATTTCCCTGAGGGCGTTGCTTATTCTCTCTAGTTCTTCGTTGAGGGTATCCGGTGTACAAATACTGCGCGCCGTGAAGGCGAGAGATCTGATTAAACTCCGCTTATGTGGTAGTGTTACTGAGCTGTGGAAGTTAGTGTACTGCCCAGTCTATGTGTGCTTTCTGTGTACCTTTCTGCTGCATGATCCGTCCGAGTTACGGATAACCTCTACATCCAAGAAAGGTAACCGGTTTCCTAGTTCGTGTTCACAAATGAAATGGAGATTCTCGTGTGCGTCCTTGAAAGCTTTCAGCAACTGTTCCGCATGCTTTCGGATACGCAAAGTACGGAGGTGTCGTCAACATACCGTAAGTACATTTCGGTTTCGCGGAGGTGCGTTGCAAGTGGGACATGTTCCAATTTCGCCATGAAAATGTCAGTCAGCAGCGGCCTCAAAGGAGATCCCATGGCCACTCTGTCAATCTGACTTTACATTTCACCATTGAAGGTGGAATGAACATTTAACGTACAACTAAGTAGCACCTCCTTTAGCAAATTCGCCGGATAAGTTGCATATATGGGCAGTTGTTGAGCAAGCTCGCATACGTAATCCACGGTTTCGAGTAATGGAAGGTTTGTGAACAGCGACTGGGCATCGATTGATATCATCCTTTTGTTAACAAGGTTGTTTTCAGATATTCTCCCAATGAATTCGAAAGTGTCTCTCACGTAGTAAGTACAAACCAAATTCCGTAACGGCTACAGCATCGCCACCAACCACCGGGCCAACAAATGCTGAGGAGAACCCACCATGTCCAAGATTGGGTGCATTGAGGCGTCTTCCTTGTGAACTTTAGGAAGGCCATATAATCTCGGTAGGTGTCCATCTGAAGGTTTCAGCTTTCGAATTCGTTCTTCGTGATAAGCTTGGCTTGCAGCATTTGCCTGAGGCAGCCGGTTAGCTGTTTCTCTAACTCCTCTGTGTTGACTTTTCCTGCCATGAGCCTCTGAAACTTACTCTCGTCACTGAGGATGTGCTGCATTTTATGGATATAATCCGCACTATCCATTAACACTATGTAGGAGCCTTTGTCTGGCTTAGAGATTATTAATTCGTTGTTTAACCGTAGCTCTTTAAGTGACTGAATTTGTTCCCTAGTGATAATACTATTACTAGATGGTTTGGTCTTAATGTATTCGTGACAACTATGAGCTAGGCTAGATTTTAGATTCTCAACGTCACTCGATGAGGTTGGAAGCAGGTCTTTATTCTGAGCAATTCGACTTTCAAACTGCCCCTCTAAAGCCGCCTGATCTATTTTTCTACATGGTATGCAAAACTTTGGACCTAATGACAACACGTTCAGTTGCGTCTGGGTTAGTATCACACTTGAAAGTTTAAACACATCGCTGCGGGTTATTCTGAAATGTCAACTGGGGGGCATGGTTATTAAGCGTACTAACTAACTTCTTTTGCTCCCTTACTTCCATTTTATGCTTAACCAGTTCTACATATTCCTTAAAAGGTTGTCTCAAGTCTTCAGGCAGGCATAACATCGCTGGTAATCTTTGCGAAATGAATCACTCCAGCTCCGTCATCTTAACACGGATGGTATCCACATAACTGAGCGCAAGTCTCTTCAAGGTTTTTGCGTTTGGGTAGAGGCCAAACCGCCGTATTTCCCTCCAAAAGTGCCATGGATAGTGGTTTGCCTACAAGCATTCATTGAGGAATTCCAATTCGACCCTGGATTATTCTAGCCGCGTATTGAACTTCAGATACTCATTCAAGTGTTTCAGTGAATCACGGGCAATGCTGGTCTACAGCTAAGCAATGATTCACATTCCACTAATATGAATAAATATCAGAAATCAGTCCCGGGTGAAGAATTTTTTTCTATAAACTCTCATTGTACCCAAACGTTTACAAAACACTGATAGTTTGGGGTAAGCGTCAACTCGGGTTGGGGTTTACTTCTGGACTGTTTGGATGATCAAAATCGATAACTTGAGACAGAGATAGAGATGTTAAACCTAGTAAACTAAATACACACTCTAAACACACACACTAAATTAAACTAAATACACACACAAGTAAACTAAATACGCAAAGCTCAGTAGTCCATCGCGATTTCAGTTTCAATTTTCAAATATTGTGAGCTCAATACCAGTTCCGGGGGAGGCATCCGTGCTGAAATACGCAGATGACTTTTTCCTGGGCTTCAATCAAGCGACCACTGCGTTTGCAGTCAGATTGCATGATATTCTCAACTATCTCATGTTTTGGTCCAGGGTTCGTGAGCTGCTCGCTAACGTTTCAAAATACATTGC